TTTACTGATGCAACGGGAAAAAACTTTCTGAAAAATCATTTTGGATAATTTTTCAAATTTTTAAATCGATTGAAAAATAAGTGAGCTAGAAGGGGGGACATTTATGGTGAATCACCCTGTACATATATGAATGCATTGTCTATATGCGAGAAAATTTTAGTCAGTACAAAACTCATAGCAACATACATAATCACTTTACAAGAAAAAAGACAATATTAGGATGAACAATCTTAGACTTGATAAATCTAGAAATGGTTCCCACTATTATGCTCCAGAATTTTATAATAAACTACCACACCATATTAGGGATTTCACAATAAATAAACTCAAAATTGTATTGAAAGATTACTTGAAGTATATTTGTGTTGTTGACCTGTGTAAAACCTAATGTTTATCAACACCAAATAAAATATTTTTTCTGCAACCGACACAAAAGTCGTCCATTTTGATACCAAAATTGGCTCTTAAATTGACGTTTCTATTACTGACACAAAAATAGGTATGTTGCTAGGCAACATATTTAGTTCCTAGGAGCTAAAGTTGAAATTTAGTTCCTAGGAGCTAAAGTTGAACTTTAGCTCCTAGGAACTAAAAAGGACCTACTGGACGTCATCAAGAATAAACAACATTGTGACGGTTGGTTATTTGGGTTGACACGCATACCTGATTTGTTTCCGATTTCAGCAGATTTGGCATTTCATACCCATGCTGGAGATATAAATACACCTTATTATAGTTTAGTATTGGAATTTGGAATTATAAACATCTCAGTTAAGTATTTTTGTTTTGATCATGGAAGCCTTCAAGATTCAATTACTTGCTTGATATGTATTTCATTCATTATTCTCGGGATGGATAACTTGTTTTTGAATAATCACGGCAAGCAATAGTTTTTTTGTCTCAAACAACGATATTGTTTAGCTTCATTTGATCATCAAGTCAAACACAGTGTAGTATGGAGAGGAATAAATAATCACTATTATCATTGTTGATATGCTCACTAACCTAACATTTTCCATACGTCTTGTTCCTATAGCTGGCACTGGCGCGGTATTTGCCATTAGAGCACCTGGTCCATACACAAATATGTCACTCTGTGGTTGTATTTATATTGAAACTACAATTCGAACATCCTAGAAAACCTAACCTGCTGTTAATGCAGGTAGAATATTCTCACCACATGGATTATTTGTCAATATTTGTTGCATTGCATACATATGGCACGGCATTGGTGGTTACTTCACACGTTTATTTGAGTTAATTGTTTCGGTTGCAGAAAAAATAGCATGTTTCATTCGGATCAAAAGTGACTTTGTTCGACTCGCAAATTTTGCTTTCGCTCGGCTTCGCTGAACGCTCCGCCTCGCAAATGCAAAATTCGCTTGTCAAACAAAGCGTCACTTTTGATCCTAATAAAACAATCTACTATTATTCTATTCTATTCTAGGCAACTAAATATGAAACTATCTAGCTCACTTCGCGACAACTAAGACGCATTTCTAACACTACTACTCTCAGAACGGTATATTTCTCCTTAATTCAGTCCCACCTCAATTACGGAATTTTACTGTGGGGTAACTCATCGGCAGCTTCTACTGTCTTCAGACATCAAAAAAAGGCCATTAGAATCTTGAGCAATGCAAATTGTAGAGAATCAGTTAATTTTTCGATCGAATTATGTCGTCAATCATTATTTATGTATAAAAGGATCATTATAAACATGGTTTGAGTTGAAAGTTAAAGGTGTACACGCCCATTACCTGCTTGTAGGCTAAATAATCCTCCATTTCGGAAAGTATGCAGAATTTCTATATTTAAATTTTTTGTGATGGATTTACGTCATAAGAGGGTCCGTTTTCAGTAAGTACTATTATTTATGTCCAAAAATAAAACGTTCCAGTTGATTTTTCCATCGAATTATGTCGTCAATCATTATTTATGTATAAAAGGATCATTATAAACATGATTTGAGTCAAAAGTTCTACTAAGGTGTACACGCCCATTAACTAATACGAGCTGTGTGTATTGCGAGTATAACGATGGTGGTAGTTTTTCTATAGTAAAAGTAAAATGGATGATGGTTTAATTAGATTTTATTTCTGTTTGGGTTTCCAACAAACTGAAATTTTGGTCAGTTTGGCTCTCAATCATGATATCAACATTAGTTTAAGCACTCTCAAACGAAAATTACACAAATCAGGATTGTTCAGAAGAAACAATTTTACGGACATCCTAGAAATTCAACAATTCATTATAAATAATACAAAAACTCATGGACAATTACATGGAGACCGATGGATGCACCTTAAATGCCTTCAGAATAATTTAGTAGTTACACAAGACATGGTTCGTCTTCTGCTCCAAATTATTGATCCCGTTGGTGTAGACAAACTATTCTACGAAAGCGTAGAAGGCTCACGTTACGTTTTTTTTTAAAATAGACAGTTGTAACTGTCTAAATAGACACTTGCAACTGTCTATTTAAAAAAAGCAATTGGAATAATTTGGAATTTGGATAACCATTTTTTTGGAATTACGGGTGATTGAAGCATCGATGTACGTTGCAAACGTAAAATCGTCATATTGTAGAATAGTACGAAAGCGTAGAAGGCTCACGTTACGTTTTCACTTTCACTGAATCGTGAATCAAATAAAATAATTCCATATCCAGCCGTTCTCTTATGCTAGTATGCTCTAGATGGAAAATGCCTTCTACTCCCTTGAGGAATATACTAACTTATTGAAACAGGTTTTACATAATATACTCACTGAATCGCCAATCAAATAAAATAATTCCATATCCAGCCGTTCTCTTATGCTAGTATGCTCTAATCAACTGATGAAATTGTGTACTGATTTTTTTTCAATATGTTCTGTAATAATAAGTATATGAATTATTATTGTTTATACCATATTTTATCTATATATGTTGTTTTCTTATTGTACTTATTTGTATATCTATTTTACAAAAAATTTGTATACCTGTCATAAATGTATTTGTATACAGTGTGTCCCAAATTCGATCCTCACCATTGGGATCTCAGTAACTATGAGAAATAGAGAAAAGGTCAAATTGGCAAAGCTGTAGCAAATTTAATGTTGAATCAGCTTCTATCGAGAAATCCGGGCTAGTTTTAGTCATTCTTGAGTTATTTGAGAAAAACTGAAATCTTGTATTTTTGTTTTGTTCGAATATCTCGGAAACTATTGATTTTATGAAAAAATGATTTCAACATTCTCATAGCACTTATTGGTGTTCTTTTGCATGGTTTTATTAGTTTTCCATCAAAATGTCAAATTTGTGATATCTCACTCGCAACTTCAATTTTTCTTATGGACGCCATATTGGATTTTAACAGATTTGAATTCAGCATAAAATTTCCTGTCTAGTGATGTATCACAATCACAGTTTAATTCTATTTGAGGTACTGATTTCCAATTTTTGTTTCTATGTCCAGTAGGCTATGAATTCTGTAACTAATAAATAATACTCAAGTTATCTCCACGACAATTCATTATGTTGTGTTATTACTGTTATTAGTTACTACTTCACTCCACCATGACTTTTGCCTTAGATTATGGATTCTGTTGTATGTTCTTGCATAACTTAACAGGTGGATAATACAAACACTAAAAAAAATTAATTGAACTGCTCGAAATGGCCCCCATTGTTCTCGATACATATTAATATTCGCGAGCGAACATGATTCGCTGCTTTTCTCAGATGGACTGTGTTGATGTGCTGGAATGTTTCCATCACTCTATCTCGTAGATCATCAATATCTTGAATTGGCTCTTATGAATTTTCTTTTTGGCGTATCCTCACAGGTAAAAATCGAGAGGCGTACAATCTGGCGACCTTGGAGGCCATCCAACAGGTCCATGAGTAGTAATTAATTTAGCTCCAGATTGACTTTCGAGATATTCCCTAACCAATCGCGTATGGTGCGGTGGGACACTATCTTGCTGAAACCACATCAACTCATATTCAGCAAGTGGTATCTCGTCTATGAAATTCGAAATCCCATTTCTCAATAGCTCTAAATAACGTGGACCATTCAAGTTATAATCGTAGATTATTGGACCTAGTAGTCTACTGTCTGAATAAAATACACAATAGGAAACAAGGACAAAAATTCTAGTAAGGTACCAAATATCCCACACCAAACATTGAAACCAAATTTGCTATACCACTTCGATTCTCTGACATGCGGATTATTTTGTGCCCAGTAATGATGATGACGTTTATTGTAAATTCCATTATAATGAAATATCGTTTCATCGGTCCAGCAGATATTCAATGGAAAGTTCTCGATTCTTTCACACTGGTTGACGAACCAATGACAAAACTCGAGACGACGTTCATTATCACCAAGTCTTAACCCTTGTACCGTCCCTGGTTTTTGTGAACGGCATTGTTTGCCCCAAAATAATAAACTTCTATTTTCTCTTGACGTGTACAGAAAAGTCAATTGGCTCCTAGCCTAGAGAGTTTAGCGCATAGCCTACTGGACATAAAAACAAAAATTGGAAATCAGTACTCCTAATAAGTTAAAACTGTGACTGTGATACATCACTAGAAAGAAAATTTAATGCTGATTTCAAATCTGTGAAAATCCAATATGTCGTCCATAAGAAAAATCGAAGTTGTAGGTGATATCTCAGAAATTTGACTTTTTGATGGAAAACTGACAAAACCATTGAAAAGAACACCAAATAGTGCTATGAGAATGTTGAAGTCATTTCTTCATAAAATCAATAGTATCCGAGATATTCGAGAAAAACAAAAATACAAGATTTAATTTTTTCTCAAATAACTCAAGAATGTCTGAAGCTAGCCTGGATTTCTCGCTAGATACTGATTCAACATTAAATTTGCTACAACTTTGCTAATTTAACCGTTTCTCTGTCTCTCATATTTACTGAGATACCAATGGTGGGGATGGAATTTGGGACACACATGATCAAATAAACGAATCTAAATGACTCCCTTTTTCCAGATTGGGCGTGCGGCGGCCAATGGAACCGCATGCTCCAGTTTCTCTCCCTCCTCACCGGCGCCATCGACCGCGGCGGCATCGAGTTGGCCGTGGTCTTCGACGGCACGATCGAGCAGTGCAGGGCGGCCGAGTGGGCGGCCGGGCAGGCCGAGGTGCGCCACCGCGTCGGCGCCGTGCTCAAGCACGTGCAAGGAAAGGGGACGCCGCCGCCCAAGGTGTGGTGGACGCCGCCCGCGTGCCTACGCTCTGCGTTGCGGATGGCGTTGAGGCATTTGGGTGTCACTGTGGTGAGTAAACGTAACAAGAGGAATCTTGTTGACATGGGTACCTGGGGTGATGAGGATAGCCCCATCAGGCCGTACAGGGTGGGCAAAATTGGGCGTTTTCACCGTCTATCTCAATAACTAGAGGAGTTATCGAAAAACCGATATACATGTTCCGGGTTCGATTTTGGAGAAACCTCGAATGGTACAATCAAAATTTCGATATCTTCATTCGTTTTAGAGATACAGGGGGAAATTGAAAATTTGTCGATTTCGATTTTATTTTCTCACTTTACGGTGAGAGGTATCAAAAAATTTCAAACGTATATTTATACAGTATGATGCGTGGAATCTATTGGCATCATCAGAAATTTTATACAGGGTGACATTGATTGATTGATTGATTGTCTTTATTACCCCAAGAAACATAGTTGTTTATAATAGGGATACATAAACATTATACATAATGTTATACATACAATTATGAAATTATAATAAGATATAACAAGTTAAAAAAAAAAAAAAAAAATGCAAATAATCATGCAATATCAACCTAGTCTTTTATAAGTAGGTATTCAAATAAGAAATGGAATTATCAAAGTCTCTGAAGCAGATATTTTTTTAAGTTAATTTTGAATCTAGTTGCTTCCTGTATATTCCTCAAATGACTTGGTAATGAGTTGTATAGAACGATTCCTGTGTGAAAAATTGATTGTTTGCCGATATTTGACTTGAACGTATTTGCTATTAGTAAATTTGATTGTCTTGTTCCATGATTATGTAATGAATTGATTTCATTGAAATTTAAATTCGAAATTTTCAATTTATATAGGACAAATTGAATAAAACAACAAATTTTAAGTTTATATAGCGATGTCAGATCTAATAAATCTCTAGGTTTGTATAAATTCATGGTTGGTTCGAGAAAATTTAAATTGTGAAGATACAGCAGCCAATTATGTTTTTTCTAATGGAACACCCCGTATATTTTGGCACAGTTGAATAGTCCCAGGCGTTCTCATTACAAATATATATATATATATAACCCTACCTTTACCTTCCACGATTTCAGACATATTCGCAAAAATATATTCAGTGTGTCACATTTCTTATGGTAACACCCACGTATCTTCTGTAAAAATAATTGATGGAAACATTAACAATCATAATATTTTGTGACAGAATGCCTGAATATGATACTCAACCCATCTATTATGCCTTGATATTTTTGCGTTCAAAGAGATAATAAATAAGATATAAGATTTGAAACGGGAACTTTCCAGCTATGCCAAAATATACGGGGTGTTCCATAAAAAAAATTGTGTTGTATCTGGAATTTGGACATCTTCTATAAGGCTATGTTTTTCAACGCAACCAACTGATTTCCTAATTGAGTAAATTATTTGTCTTATTTCTGTATCTCAAATGTCTTGATAACAATGATATCAAATCGAATAATTCCCCATTTTATTTCTCACCAAATATCCATTTATCTGGAAATTATATTGCCTATGATATTTATTTTCCACATTTGGTGAATATATACAGAGTGTCATTTTCAACCTCGATTCTGCCTGTTGATAGCATTATCCAGAAATATGGATGATTCCATAGCTGCTGGCGAGCAGTGTTATCATTGGAGATGATCCCACTTGGTCCATGACTCCATGAGTGTATCATATGTATCTTTCTGACAGTTGCGAATTTTTGAATCCTACCTCAATTATTTTTACAGAAGATACTGGGGTGTAACCATAAGAAATGTCACACACTGAATATATTTTTGCGAATATATCTGAAATTGTGGAAGGAAATGGTAGGCTTATATATATTTGTAATGAGAACGCCTGGAACTATTCAACTGTGCCAAAATATACGGGGTGTTCCATTAGAAAAAACATAATTGGCTGCCGTATCTTTTCAACGTCACCCTGTATAAAATTTCTGATGATGCCAATGGATTCCACACATTATACTGTATAAATATACTTTCGAAATTTTTTGATACCTCTCACCGTAAAGTAGTCAGAAAATGAAATCGAAATCGGCAAATTCTCAATTTCCCCCTGTATCTCTAAAACGAATGAAGATATCGAAATTTTGATTGTGCCTTTCGAGGTTTCTCCAAAATCGAACCCGGAACATGTATATCGGTTTTTCGATAACTCCTCTAGTTATTGAGATAGACGGTGAAAGCGCCCAATTTTGCCCACTCTGTACATACGGCCTGGTGCCTCACCAATTAGGTTGGACTCCAGGAGGCAGCGGTTTCCAAAAAATACCACCGGACTATGGTAGAGGAGGTGCAGAAGAATCCCACTATGGGTCAAGTAGGAGAATATCTTGCCTGCCTCGGCGGGTGAGCAGCGTTTTCTGCTCGGGCACTGACACTGCAGAGCCAGTGGTCTGTCTTATTAGACGGCCTCACCATTGGTTTAATAAAATTGTAGCAGGAGAACTTGCCGTTACATAACGGAGATGGCTCTAGCGCGCTGATTTGGCGTATCCAAATCTTCCATTTCTCTCTGGGGTGTGCTGTCGGTATAAGTCGAGAGACAGGAGACCGGCAGTCATCCCCCAGGGGAGTTTTGGGAAAGGGGGTTGGGACTTGGTCTCACCCGTTGCTACCCCGGCAACTTATTGATTGATTGTGGTGAGTGGGCTCAGAAAGATGTATACAATTTCAAATGGTGTAATGACTTTCTATTTGAGGGAGTTTGGAAATCCTCATATCACATACTTTGTTGCAACGGCGAGGCATGGGATAATCTTGCAACATTACCGAAGTTTTGAACCAAATTTGTACGTTATATTTTCGACTTTTAAATCTGAATTCATAAACAACTCAACAAACATATTATCAATTCCTTCCCTGATGAACCCCTCATTCATAATAATTTATAATATTTCCATTTGAAATTTAAACAAAATCATAAATATGCCGAAAATGTCACACTCGTTACAGATATACCTCGGTTGCAACAAAAGTTGAAGGGAAGCTAAATCTTTCGAAGAATTTCTATATCCGAGTCCTAATTGGTGACAATGAACCACGTGATACATTTGGACGATTGCGCATAGGATCTTAGAAGTATTAGCAGGACTCTTCAAGTTCTGAAAGAAGGGAAACACATCCTTGAAAGTCTAGCTCTACTTCATAAGATTCCAAACGAATTTAAAAAATGTTCATCTATCATCGAATATAAGAACCCCACGTTCCCAACTAGCATTCATTTGTTCATAATATGGAGAGTTAGTCTGATGAAACAATTGAAGAGTGGATCCAACATAGCAATAATTATTAACATCTCAGCTCAGACTATAACCATAGATCGACACCACGATTCGTTCATAAATCATCAAAAAGTATACGTCGAAGATACCAAACGACAAAACATGAATGAATGAAATCGCTAGTGCTGGGGATATTAACAGACACTTGTACATATGCGGATGAGTGCACAGACTTAAAACAATAGACACTTCGATTTATTCATAAATCATTGAAAAGTATTTGTCAACAATCCCATACACCAAACACGGTTAAATGGATGAAATCGCGAATGGTGGGGATAATAACAGGCACTTGAATAAAAATAGACACCCCGATTTATTCGATTTATTCGTAAATCATTGAAAAGTATGTCAACAATCCTAAACACCAAACACGGTTAAATGAATGAAATCGCGAATGGTGGGGATTATAACAGACACTTGTACAAAGCGGGTGAGTGCTCAGATTAGAACATCAGATAGCCACTGCAGTCATTTCAAGAATCATTAAAAAGTATATATCAATAATCAAAAACACCAAACATGGTTGATTGAATGAAATCGCGAATGGGGAATAATAACAGACACTTGGTGTACATTGGCGGTTGAGTGCTCAGACTAAATATCAAAAGATAGACAACATATTTCATCCATACATCATTGAAACGTTTATGTCAACGATCATAAACAATGGTTGGGATTATAACAGACAGTTGTACATACATTAGCGGATGAGTGTTTAGACTAAATAATAACAGATAGACATTGTGATTTTCAGCAACTTCAAGTTTGCTTATATAAACTGAAATTTAATAAAATCTCATTTGATGCGGACTCCAAGGGTGACTTCATAAATAACTCCATCTCCACCTGGATAGAAAAAAAAAAGAAAGAAACAAATTGGAGGAAGTTGAATAAACTCAGCTCTATAGTGGTTTATATTTCCAGATGTGTACAATGGATGATCATCACCAAGAGGTGATAGCTTATTGCCGTGAATATGGCTTTCATGGTCTACTTGCCGATGATGCAGAGTATGCAGCTTTTGATCCACCTCGTTATTTTTCCTCCGAAAACCTGAAGCTCACATACAAGGTGAAAAATAAATTAATTTTGCCTATCATCTTATTTGTGTTGTCACTAACTTGTTACCTTCCTACCTTCCAACATATTATTTTTAACATGTGAACTTTTTTTATCTACAATCGAAGTACATACTGCATTTTTCACAAATTCTAAATTTTTTTTGGTTAAATGAGCTACTTAAGAAAACAAGTGTAAGGATTTTGTGAGTAGCTCTGCTACTAAATACTTGATATAAAGAACTGATACCTTGTGTGAATGAAACTAATGAATTGATGTGAATATTCATTGAAATATAAAATATAGACAAAAAATAAGAGAAGCGTAACAAATAACTTGAGTTAGCTGAACGAGTTATTTTCATTATTCAAAATTCCATATCAAATGTGTTAAACAGTTATTGAACTTTTTTCTTCATTTCAATGACTTACCTTCCATCAAGTACCACAAAACATTATCAATATGTCTTGTGTTGTGAATCGGAAGTAGATAAAATCAACTGTGATGCAATAGAAGTAGTTGTCAAGAACTATTTCTAAAGAAACACAGCTCACAAGAATATATTTGTAAGAATATAATTATGTGTCTCCGTGATAAGCATGGGTATGTCGGGTAAATCAGATTTAGTTCTCATTATCTGTATATAAGTATCAAAAATATTTTCCTGAAAATGCCTCATTGGCTCTCTCTAATGATAAAACTATGGGAAGTTGAGATTTCAAAAAACTGTTTTTTTTACAAAAGACAGTATTTAAATCGTTTTTTAATAGGGGTCCATTGAAACCAAGGAGTACATGGTCAGTGAACTGACCAAGAGTTTACAAGTGACGCAGGAACAGCTCTGCATCATGGCTGCCCTACTCGGGAATTTCCTTTTACCGGAAAACCACTTGCAAGATCTGCATAAGAGACTCGGCTTGACCAAGTCCATGGCTGATGATGAAAGTTTGGTGAGTCTTGAAAATGCATTTGTAACAATTCTTGCATAGTTTCATGGCTTGATAATGATAATAGGGCATTTCAATGTGTTTAACCTAATCACTGCTGCACATGGTAAGATTCCTCTCATCAGTAGCTTTTGTATATTTTTTCATCGTTCCTTACAGGTGCTTTATATTATGTGTCTGATAATGGCCGAGTGCCGAAACTAGTTACCTACACGTCTTATGTAATAAAGTTGTGGTCGACCGACTTTGGGTTTTTTGTATTTTTCCTTTGATAGAGCATTTTGTTCCTGAAGGACATGAAAGGGAATTATCATTATGTTTATGGTACATTGTGCATTCCTAGAGAGGATAGGTAGGTTAGGTAGGCGTTGGAATTTGTTTGAAACTTATGTAGGTTACAAATTCTTGGGAATACTCCATTAGGCAACGAATTATCTCCTATCCCTGTTCTACATGTAACAACTTTTTTCTGCTACTTCTTGAATAAATAACGATTGTACAAGTTGCATTAACCCAGTATTCATATTTTGCATTAATTGATTCATCTGATGAGTAATATTCACTGCTATATTCTGTTACCTGTTACAATCATGATATTCGTAAGAAAAATACACTCGACGCCAAAGAAAACCTAAAATATTTCATAAAGTTCTCCTAAACATTTTTTTTTCGTTGTCCTCTACAAAAAATCGCATTTTATGTTCTAAATTCCGCACGAAAAACCGACTATTTCCGAAGGCAAGTACTTTTCGTCCGCAAACACTTTCCTCCCGTTACAGGGTTGCCAGTTCTACTGAGTTTTCAGTAGATCTCCTGATTTATATATTGATCTACTGAAACATGTCATGATCTACTGTAAATTATTTTGACACTTATTATTATAATTCCCTATATTTTCATTAATCTTCAGTTAATCACATACACTTATAAATTGCATGATATTTCGGCATGCTCTCTATTTAAATTAATTTTACAAAATAAGTAAAGAATTCACATATTGGTACTAATGATATATATAAACCAAAGAACGACAATACCTTATCTGATACAGATCAAATTCCATTTTTCAAATACCTCTGTTATAACAGTATGTTCCTAACGTTTAATATTTTTATTGGTTTTGAATTTTTGTTGTTCATTCTTACTATTTGTTCCTTTTTTCATATTATATTCATATCTTATAAGTACCTATGTAACTGTATTTTGTGATATTTGTTAAGATTTTTAAATTGAGAATTAGGAATATGATTGTTTTTATGAGAATGTTTGTATCGTTTGTTTCTATTTAGTTGAAAATAGGTCACTTTTTTGTTTACTAAAAGTACATATTATTTTGACGTCATAGGTTTATTTCATAATCCTCTCTTGGAATTTGTTAAGCATAAAATAAATCTGAATTTTTGACAAGGTATTTACTGATGAAATACAAATCTAACTGGCAACCCTGGTCCGCGCGGAGAGTTACTTGACAACAACTGTCATTTGGTGTTGTCAAAGTAATTATTTACGAAATGCTATAGATATCACATGTGAATAGGACCGTAATGTGGATATAAGTGTTTGAGGTCGACGAAGAAATGTAATAAGCACCTCCGAGAAAAACTGTCTATTGTCTAGCCTGATTGCTCAATTTGCAGACTTGACTATAATAGACAGTTTTTCGTCCTCAAAATAAATCGCCCTTTAAATAAATATTCTGCTCCTGTTATTTTCAATTTTATTTCTTTCATGTTATTCATTATTTTCTTTAGCTAATTTGTTTACATCAATAAGTTGCTCTTCAATCTGTCACCACTCTCTATCATTTGATTGAGTAATCTCAACTTATTTCCACTTTTTTTTTGTTATAAATGAATATTATTACATCTTTCGGGTCTGAATTGTGTAGTAAACGCTAGATTCCTTGAACTCTCCCTTTCATATCGCCGTGAACAATGTGAAGAAATGGGCGTATCAAGTCCACTCTTCGCCTTCTCCGTCCAATATGTTGGAAATACTCGTGTTTAGTGCAATGAAAAGCTATCTTCCGGGTCTGAGTCGTCTCAACTTCTAAATCTTGAACTTTTCCTTCCAGAACGCCTAGAACAATGTGTAGAAACAGGCGGAGTTCGTCCGGCCTTGCTCTCGCCATTTAACAGAATTATTATTATTATTATTATTAAATACATTTTAATTTCAATGAAAAACTATCTTTCGGGTCTGAGTCGTCTCAACTTCTAAATCGTTTGAAATTTTCCTTCTAGAACGCCGAAAACAACGTGAACAAACTGACGGAATTCGTCCGGCCTTGGCTCTCACCATTCAACATGTTGAAAATACTCGCTCTTAAAACTTATCTAATCACTGAATCGAAAGTTGGCTTTTGCTTCCTCATTTGAGGAAACAAAGTTGTCAATTCACTCCCACGGGAGAAAAACCATATCGACTCCCGTGGGAGGTAAAATAAATTGACTTCAGCATGCATCCTTTGGTGTTGATATACCTATGAAATCTGTGCAATCCAAGTACCTAATCAGTGTATTTATCACTACTATAAATCCCATTCAAATTCCAATCCAATTAATTCATGTTGACAAGTGTCGAATTGACTTTCGTTCAATGCCGTCAATTGTCCATGGCATACTATGTTTCTAATGCATGATGATTTGGATCGAGAGATAGACCGCCTGAAGCACAATTTCAAGAATGATGCATCGAAAAAATGCGTTCCTTGATAAAATCATATACATATATCATTAGAGCAAAGGTTCATTTCCTCCCATGTGTGTTTAATGCTCTCCGCGACGCGTCGTGTATCAAACTTCACACGTGGGAGGAAATTGATAACTTTCCTCCCTTGATATATAAATAGCTATTATTTCTGTTCTCTTTTATGAATTATTATTATTAAATACATTTTAATTTCATTGAAAAACTATTTTTCGGGTCTGAATCGTCTCAACTTCTAAACCGTTTGAACTTTACCTTCCAGAACGCCGAGAACAACATGAAGAAACTGGCGGAATTCGTCCGGCCTTTGCCTTCGCCGTCCAACATGGACGCCCTGGTGGCGGCCGTCTTCGGCTCGCCTGACGACCGGCGCGCCGACAAATTCCGGCAGTCCGTCCAGTACTACCTGAACGGCACGGCCAGCGGGTTCCTGAAGTACTGCACGCCGCCTGGTGAGTAGCGAATAGCGGCCCTTTTTTCCCACTTGTAATACCACTAGAGGTCAAATTATTTCCGGAATTTTTTTCGAGCTCATGGATATTTTGAAAACTTCGAAATATTCATGAGCGAGAAAATATTCTCGGAAATTAATTTGACCTCGTGTGGTATTTGGTAAGAAAATTCCACACCAGATTGTGCTTGGGAATTGAATAATTTTAGAATTTATTTGTTCATTTGATTTGCATACAGGTTCATGAATAAATTTAGTTTGGGTCGCACTTTCGGCATCAATAATAGATTCCTGACTTCTACCTATTATATTTGCATGAAAATAATAGTTTAAAATGTAACATATTATATTCTCCCATTTTATATTAACTTCGGAATACTACAAGTGATAAGAAATTATAATTTTGTCAATTAATATTTCATAGTAGTAGTAGAGAAAGTGGAGGCGGTCGCCTAGCAAGTAGGCCCTAGTGAGCCTTTTTTGCCGACCCCTGCTGCACACGTCATGTGCACATAATATCTACTATTCCTTCTCCTTATTCTTTTTATCGAACCTCCGTGGATTTCTGATGAAGGTCAGTATGTCCGTCCACCTAAGTAATTTCTTACACTGGCCCAGGTAGTGGTATGACATTCTATATAATAGATGCAGTTAGGGCATCAATCGATTCTTAGCCTATTAATTGTTGATTTCTACCCAATTGAAGTGGCACAAAATCACTATTTTAGAACGTCAAAATATTATTCTGTCATTCAAACGTCATGAAAAAATTTCCGATTTCATACGCTGGTACCCACGAGAAAAAAAATTCCACTAAAATACAAACGTTGCTATTTTAGAGATAAACCTAGAATCTCAAGACTAAGAGATTCTAGGGAAATTTCGTGAATCGATTGTCAGCTGATGCAAGACAGACTGTTTCGACTTGCCATAAGTCTCATCAGTTGCACTGGCCAGCTGACAATCGATTCACGAAGGGTACCTCCATATATCAAACAAGTCGAAGCCCTGAGGGGGCAGAAGGACGATCTAGCCTTCATAGCCATCTAGTGGCTTAAGTGCAAAGGTGTATGGTAGATTCATCAATCATACCTTGCGAGTAAGTCGTGCATATAGACCCCTACGTCTATATGCTTACAGAAAAGACATCCATGTCAGATTCTGTAGTCTACTCCCAAGGTATGATTGATGAATCTACCATACACCTTTGCACTTAAGCCACTAGATGGCTATGAAGGCTAGATCGTCCTTCTGCCCCCTCAGGGCTTCGACTTGTTTGATATATGGAGGTACCCTTCATGAATCGATTGTCAGCTGGCGAGTGCAACTGATGAGACTTATGGCAAGTCGAAACAATCTGTCTTGCATCAGCTGACAATCGATTCACGAAATGTCCCTAGAATCTCTTAGTCTTGAGATTCTAGGTTTATCACCATCTGTTAGTGGAACATTAAACCACTTTGAGAATTACAGGTGTTGCAATAGTCTACAGAATCTGACATGGATGTCTTTTCTGTAAGCATATAGACGTAGGGGTCTATATGCACGACTTACTTGCAAGGTATGATTGATGAATCTACCATACACCTTTGCACTTGAGCCACTGGATGGCTATGAAGGCTAGATCGTCCTTCTGCCCCCTCAGGGCTTCGAGTTGCTATTTTAATTTGTCATAAAAATCTAATTCAACTGTATAAAAATCACTGGTGTGGAATTTTCAGCAGTAATATCCCATGACCATGGCAAATAGCCGACTATTATTTTCTTCATAGCTTTATCCAGAAGAACAACCCTCGAGAGCTTCAGCTCGAAGGACACCTCAGAGGGTTGGTTACCTGATTAATATTTATGATACAAATGTTTTTGCTTCATCCTCTTAATTTTACTCAATTCATCAATGGAAGGTTCAACTTTCTTGTTGCATGTGTCTTTTCATATTTTTTTTTCAAGTACTTTATTCAAATGCAGGGTCCGGCAACAAGATTGAATGGTTTTGAAAAGGTTGCTGTGGAAATACTGTTTATTTGACAAACGTCAAATAGTGATAAAATTGGAGTTTATTATTGAAGGTTTTGTGTTGCAATGGCGAATTGGCCGGTTAATCAACGAATCTTTGCTATAAGCTCAACTCATTTATCCTGACCCAGTCCATCTTGCATACCCTGGGGCGTTTTCGTCGTGAATTTAATTTGGCAGTGCGCGCTGAAGTCCCATCAAGAAATGCAATTATGAGATGATTTAGAAATATACACGAAAAGGACAGTGTAAAGTCGAAATTTGTCGGAGGTATATGTACAGTTTGTACACAAGGTAATATTGAAAGAACCAGAGTAGCTGTTGAATTGTGTTCAACACGTTCTGCAATTCGGCATTCAATTGTACTGGGAATTTCATGTTGATTAACCGGCCAATTTGCCATCAACAGTAAAAACACAAGAGCTTTATCGGATAAATTTCTGTTGGTAATGAAAAACATTTGCCGATCAGTAATTTTACGAGAAAAACTGACATGAAAATATTGCTAGACCGTAGGTCCAGCAATTCTGACTAATGGTCAGTTTTTTGAGAGAAATAACTGAAGGAAAATGTTTTGAGTTAGTAAGGAAATTTATCCAATTAAAAAAAAAGTTCGAGTGTTTTTTGGAAAGATAAATCAACGATAATATTCAAATAAACCACAATAATGATGACCTTTATTGATGATTCCCTGTAACTGGTAGTTTGCGGAATTGATTTTCTCATATTTTCGTGGTTTCTTCCGGTGAAATTTTGCTAAACCGGCTCATCTTGCTAATTTACGCGTGAACCATACCCATCAATCAAACTTGACACGACAGAAATTGGAGTGACATCAGGCGCAAATAGCTACTAGATCAAAGGAGCAGGCAGTTTATCAGCGATAAAAAAGGTGCATCCTTTTTTATCCATGTCAAAATGACTCACGTCGTCGTCAAATAGCGTTTTCCGTGTTGGAGTTGATTCATTACTATTAAACCGTATGTCAAATAAACAGTATTTCTACAGCAACCTTTTCAAAACCATTCAATCCTGTTGCCGGAGCCGTTATAATGCGTTCTTGACAAAATTGAAGATGAGATTTGGAGCCTACAGTAGTCTGCATTACAATGAACATTGAATTATCCAAAGCAGCAAAAGTGCTGGTCGCGGAAAAGTATTTATACAGAACTTAAATAATACATTCGCATTTTCATCTCGGTTTACATATTTAAATTTGATAGCAGAAGTACATAAAATCAAAAATAAAATTAACAATCACCTGGATATTTCCATCCTAGAGCAGTAAATGTGGTAGTATATAATAATATATACATTTATATATTTATTTTTAATTTTCCTTTTGAATACATTTATATTTCCGCTCTGTCCCTTGGTAATGAATTATAGGCTTCTATGCTCTCTATTATGCTGTTTTTGAGGCCTATGTTTGTTCTCACTGGCTCTAAGAAGATATTTGCTTGTGTGCTTAGTTTTCAAAAAACAAAATTGAGACTCGACATAAATCCAAATTCTAATGTAGTAGACCGGGAGCCCACAACGTGTTTTTTTGTGTCTCATTTGTTCACACTCAGCAGTATAAGAACCCCCCAAATTTTTTTTTCAATAGGCAAGTGGACTATTTTTTTCATGTTTCAAATAGAAGCATCACTCAATTACCTTCCAATTTTATATTTTCTTAGATTTTTTTGGTCGATGTTAAAGTGCATAAATCACCAATATTGCCATGGTGATTTTCAAAAGACTAGAAATTTACCGCTAATTAAAACTGACGTCACGATTTCGTAAGTAGGGAGAGCAAAGAGCACAGTTGCCATATGTTGAAATACAAATTGGAACTTCAGAAATATCATTCATTAATTAATTCATGAATTCTTAAAATTATGCATTTGTGAAATATTTAATTAGCTAAGGTCCATTGTTTTGAAATTTTTCCTTTTACATTGTGTTGTGTCTTATAACTTATGATTAATGCTTGTTAATAATAATATTTATACGCACTAGAGAACATTTGATCAAGTGAACGTGACAACACAGGATTGTGGGCGTTGTCTTGTCAGTTCTTAGCATTCACCACAGAATTTCCAAATCTCTAGCAAACATTTACATGATGTTTTGTTGGCGGCAATGACAGCACGTTTAAAATGAGCTCTGAAAATGAAGAAGAGTGATAATGGAAAATTGCAAATAATATTTCTAACGTCAACGCCTTGTATCTCGAAAACTAAGCTCCAAAACATAATTGTATATGAACTTTTCTCTTCTATTTTTGCGAGTACTATCACATCGAATTTTCCCGATTAAAATACGAAATTTTGAAATTTGTGTTTTCCAAACAAAAATACCATGGATTTCTCAAAAGTGGCTCACCCCTATAACTTCTTTATTTATACAGATAAACAAATGAAATGTGGTGTGTGTGTATGGTACATAAATATGCATTATTTGACGTGTTCAATTGTTTTCAGTTTCGGTTTGACAGGAAATGACCCATATTTTCATATTTTAAATTTGACTTAGGAAGAATGGTTTCCATGGAGTTTTAATTTCCATTTGTTTCAGAGGTTCATTCAAAATCTACAATATCGTTATTATGGTGTTAACTCAATTCTTTCAAATAGAACAAGGGTGGTCTCATTACTAGATTGAAAATTGAAAAATGAAAATTTCAGAATGATAAATGTCCAAAAGTAGCAAATGGCATTGTATTTTATGGTATGTATGTTATTCTCTATCAGTAAACATATACTGGGTGGCCCATTTAAAATAAGAAACTATGGGTCATTTCCGGTCGAACCGGAAGTGACTGAAAACAATCGAATGCGTTAGATAATGATAATAGTCAAGTACTATACCTACATACCAAATTTCATTTGTTTACAAGTACCAAACAAAATTTAGGAACAAAATACCCATAATTTGATAGGTGCATTATTACCAATATTTCATTGGTTATGGTCAAAATGTTTAGAATTTGTCACAAGTATTTGTTTGGATTTTTCAATAGAGGGTGTTTATATACTTTGAGACATAATTTTTCAGATACTTCAATAAAAAGAACAGAACCAAACAAAAAAAAATACTTGACTGTGAATAGCATTGGATATTGATCATATTGTTTCAGAATCACTAAAATTATTACTCATTTTGTATAACTCAGTATGTGAAACAGTTTTATCTGTTCAATTTTTTTTGAGAAGCTAAAGCGAAACCAAAGAAGAACACCGCCACCCCACCACCCCAAAACGAGAATTCCAACAATATCAACAGCAAAACTGAAGATCAAGATTTGGACACCTCAGGATTTGCATCAGAAACGACTGAACAAGAGGTAAATTGAAATTAGAATGAAAACTTTCTTGATTCATTAGATCTTACTTAGCTCAAATCTGCTATATTTGAATGTGATCATAAAAAAATTAGTCCTTCCTTAGTTTTGAAGTTATTTCATATAGTAGAATATTTTCTGATGACTAATTTAATTTTTTTTTTATATTTCAGCAAGAGAGTCTACAAAGCTATAAACAAGCTACTGCACATTCAATTCTTAGCGATTTTGAAGGATTGGAAACCAGTTTACTGAAGAACAATCATGGTAATGAACTCAGGTTTTTGTCTTTTTTCCCGATTGACAATGTATTAAAATCACCGGCAAAATATTGTCAATTGACTTAGGGTGTGGTACCACAAAGACCCGTTTTGATCCCCTCTTATTTATGGTGTACAGTCGTACGCATTTACGATAACGATCTTTTTGATAAGTATACTGGGTGTCCCAAAATTACATAGAAATATGTCAACCACAGATTCTAGGAACAAAAGTAGTGAAAAAACTTAATGTAAACATGACCCCAGGAGGAGGAGTTATAGCCATCTGAAAGATGGCCCGAGATGATGTTTTTTTGTAAATATTCCCGGAATCCTTTTTGTTGAGATAACGAAATTTCGTACATGTATATTTCTTTTCATGCCCGATTTTGAAATGTTGAAAATTTCCCGAGTTTTCAATCAGGGGCGTGGAAAATGGGCGAGGCAGTGTGACCAGGAAATATGAAAATATAATTTTCCTACGACCACCTATGAAAACAGCACAAAACACATTGATTTGTTATTGAGAAAGTGACTCGTTTCTCTATGACAACATATAACAGTTAGAAAATTCGAAAGCAAAACTCACATGGGTAGAAATATTCGAAAATCGCACAGTAACAGGGTCTATTGATTATGATGTACCAATGAATGATTATTATGCTGAATTATGGTGAGTTAAGTTATGGTCAAGTTAATGGAAAATTAGTGTCGATTTAACATGAGTTAATGTCGTTAATGTTGACGTAATGTTGAGTTGATGAAAAGTTGAAATCAAGTTAATTTCAATTTAAAGTTGAATCAATGTCAATGTATTGGCAATTTAGTGATTGTTGTAAAGCTAATGTCAATTTGATATTGAGTTGATGTTAATTTGATTTTAAGGTAATGTCAAGTTAATTTTGCGTTGATGTTGATATAATGTTGAGTTAATAATGAATAATTATTAAGTTAATGTTAAGTTGATGTTAAGTCAATGTTATGTTGAGTTGATGTTAAGTCAATGTTATGTTGAGTTGATGTTAAGTCAATGTTAATTAATTTCAAGTTAATGTTAAGATACTGTTGAATTTATCTTAAGTGGATGTTAAGTTGATGTTGAGTGAATGTTGAGTTCATGTTAAGTTAACGTTAAACTAATGATGTCATTTAAATATTGAAGTAAAATTAAATAATAATGATAATGATATCACCTTCATGTGATCGAATATGATTAGAAACATGATCCCTATTCTGGTTTTATAAACACTCATGACATATAATATAAATATTTGTGGTCGTAGGAAAAATAGTGAAAACTCGTTGGAAAGTGCATTTCCTGCGGCTCGTGCTAAACGTCCACTCGCGGGAAATATGTCACTTTCCACACTAGTTATGTAATATACTATTCCCACGCCCCTGATAAAAATTTCAGAAAATTCTTTATATTTCCAAATCGTGCATTAGAAGTTTTATACATGTACAAAATGTCGTACCTCAACACAGGGTTTCGGAACTATTTACCTAAATCCATCATCTCGGACTCCCCTTTAGATAGCTATAAGTCCCGAGGGGGCCATTTCTGGACCCATGTTTGCATACACTTTTTTCACCATTCTTGTTTCCAGAATCTGTGGTTGAAATCTTTCTATGTAATCTCGGGACACCCTGTATAATATCAAATCTTGAAACCTCTAAAAATTTAATCCTAATACATTTTCCATGTTTTAGAAAATGTGAATTATATTCATTTTCAACTTTTGAAAAAAAAAAACATAGGAGATGAAAAATATGTACGGGGTGTCAACGAATCTATTAGCCAAGTCATGAGTTTCAAAATATCGGGTGTATACCGGGTGATACAGGGTATCGGGTCACCCCTGTAAATTTGGTACAGTTATATTAGCAACTATTTCGGATTTGTTCACATCAAAATCCAATATGGCGGACTTTTAGTTCTTCTGGAACACCCTGTATATTTTTACATATTCTTGTTCAACAGGTCGAAACAAGTGCAATTTTCCAAGTAAGCTGTTGAAAACAATATTTCTGAATCTTGTCATAAGATTGCACTTGTTTTGACCTGTTGAATTTGTTTTTTTTTAGAAAAACCTGAAGTCCGCCATATTGGATTGTAATGTCATCAAATCCGAAATGATTGCTAAGATAACTGTACCAAACAGAAAAATCCGTTTACGAATGCAAAAGTTATTGGGGTGGCCCGATCCTGTGTCACCCGGTATATTGGGATTTGGTATAGGTCAGGTTACGCTTGACATTAGATTTGTCAAGTTTCAATTTAATTCGACGTTCTGAAGTGGCTCAAACTCACTCCTGTCTTTCTGGATGTAACTATTCATAAGTGTACTTGGTGCAAGACATTGCTGTGTCTCTGGATAAAAAAGACATTGTAAAAAGATATTCCAAGGAATAAAAACGTACATTTAAAATTTTGGTGACGAACATTTGAAATTTCGGTGGCGGTACATAATTTGCCATTTTATTCGAGAAAAAAAAGCTCTTCCTGAAGATCCTGATCAAGATAATAGAGTAATAGTAGATTGTTTTATTAGGATCAAAAGTGACACTCTGTATCCGAATGAAACATGCTATTTTTTTGCAACCGAAAGAATTAACTAAAATGAATGTATGTGAAGTAACCACCAATGTGACTTACTTGACAGATTATTGTAATAATATGAGTAAGTAGATAGAAGCATACAGGCAGGAATTCAATACTACCCGAAACGTGGATGCCGTGCAATGCAACAATAATATGAGCATGTTCATTTAGGGAAATTGAATAATTTTATTTACATTCTACCGAACAAACCTAATTTATTTTGCAATAATTCACTTAGCCTAGCAACGGTGCCTGCTTTTTTGCAATACCCTGCATGTTTTTGTACATGTATTTTGCAATGTATTCATGTCATTGGGTTCCATATGTTTGTAATGTAGTATACTATTTCAATAAATAGTCAAAATAATTGAAATAAATAAAATAAAAGTATATCAATGAGTGTCCGCTGGTGGTGGTAGCGATATGATTAGTAATGGCATATAGATCGTATCGACATGGTACATAATCGTCAGAAGCATAGTTATTCATATCCAATCCGTTCAATGAAAAGTCGACAATTTTCATTTTCCCTTTGAAACTTTCTGTGTGCGAGAAACGTTTCAGATGAATAACTAAAATTTTAGGAAACTTCTTAATTGAAAATGTCTTCAAACATTTCCGAATCATCTTACACTTCGAGAGCAGTTAGGTTTTTCTTCGCCAACCAAAGTCTCCACGCTTGTAAATGAGTCCAGGCAATTTTGTTTTATTTCTTAAATAGAATCATCACTCAAATATCCTTTCAATTTCATATTATTTTAGAATTTTATTGTCAATTTTAAGGTGCTAAAATCATCAATGGTAATTTTCAAACGGCTAGAAATTTACCGCGAGTGGAAACTGACGTCCTGATTTCGTGAGTAGAAGCAGACCATAGCACAGTTGCCTTATGTTGAAATACGATTGGGAACTTCAGAAATATTAGTTATTCAATAATTCATAAATTCTCAATCATGTATTGGTAACATTCCTAATTAGCAATAAAAAATCAATTGTCTTGACATATTCCCTCATGTGTTGTGTCTTATTGTTTATAATACATTGATGTAAACAATAATTATATTAATCCACACTAGAGGACATTCAAACTGGTAAACGTGAAAACACGGCGCACGAATGGGCGGTGTCTTGTCAGTTCTCAGCATTCAGCACAAGTTTCCAACATTCACATGATATTTTGTTATGGAATATAAGAAATATTTAGACATGCTGGTAACTCAAAAAAGTCAATAATGAACTATCATAATATCATGGCTTCCACCTATTAGGTTTTATTTAACGACAGGACTCTTAACATCTTTTTGATAACTCGATTATAATTGGTGACTTGGCAACCTTGCTTCATGAGTGGGAATGGAAGATTATCTGACCAATAACGAAACGGCATAAAAACTGACGTCAGTAATTTATTCGACGTATCGCCAAATGGCGGGCATGAGGGTACGTTTGACATGAGCTCTGGAATTCAACATTTTGTAACAACGCATAGACTCATTATTTACATAAAAAAGAGTGAAGAGTTTTGCAAAAAGTGATTCAGGTCCCCAACGACACGGTGGAGTAACTGAATGCAAGAAAGTTATCCACGATTCTACACTTTTTCCAGTCTCTTGACGTCATGATACATTGCCACAAGAATCATATATACCTGCCAAATTTCAAAGCAATCGGTCTGTTCAAGTGGGTCAAAATCGAGTCCATACATATATACATAGAGTGTTAATAAAATGATTACATTTTTCGAGACTAATTTGAAGTTATCTCAGACGATTCCTCCGTATCGACCGATTCGTCCAGATTCAACGGCATCTCGAACGGTTCGGTGTCTTCGGCGAAGAGTCTGCAGACGGCTTCCGGCAGTTCGGGCGCCAAGGTCGATCTCTCGGTGGAGGGCAGCACTTCCGGCGAGAGTGTTCCGGTCCATCAGAAGCCGTCCAAGTTCAACAGGAATTCAAGTAGGTGTATCTTTTTTTTTTCGTTTCCAGGGATATTGGATATTTTCAGTAAGCCAGTGACCTTTTTTTTTCAAGAACTTTATTCAGATAATGCAAGAAAAAAACCAACATATTATCAGTATTACAGGTAAGTTCAGTGATGCAGTATCTGACATAAGTGCTTGTCTCGGAAATGAAAAACAACTACAACATATACATTCACAATTTCAAATTGATTATGGATTGAATAACAACAGGAAGTATAATAACAATACAATAACAATACAATACAACTCAACTCTTCCTAATGTTTCTAAAAAAAAATGAAAAATATATACAGTGTGACCCATTTTTAATGGAAACACCTCTGTATCTCACGTAATCGTTGGTTGAGGATTCTGAAATTTGCTGGAGCGAGAGATATACCAACACTGCACTCTATGACCAAGTGGGGTCATCTTCAGTGATATACACTGCTCGCCAACAGCCTTGGAACCACTCCAATTACTGGAATATCATATTAGGAGTCAAAATAGGTTGAAAATCACTTCGGATTCGGAATCACGACGCCCAATTCACTGACTATGTATATTTTTCTTGGAAAATTTTCGGTTCTGAAAAATTAAATTTTGTCGAAATTTTTACGGAAGTACCCCCGTATATCACGTAATTATTGAGGTATGATTCTGAAATTTGCAGGAAGAAGGGAAAGTCCAAACATAAAGTCAATTACGTAAGATACGGGGGTGCTTGCGTAAAAACTGCGACAAAATTCAATTTTTCAGAACTGAACATTTTCCAGGGAAAATATGAATAGATAGTGAATTGGGCGTCCTGATTCCCAATCCGAAGTGATTTTCAACCTATTTTGGCTCCTAATATCATTTTCCGGAAATCGGGGTGGTCCCATGGCTGTTGGCGAGCAGTGTATATCACTGAAGATGACCCCACTTGGTCATAGAGTGCATTTTTGGTATATCTTTCGCTCCAGGAAATCTCAGGATCCTTACCCAACGATTATGTAAGATACAGGGGCGTTTCCATTAGAAGAGGGTCACACTGTATATAGATAAATGAATTGAACCATTACACTGACAGTCTAACTTCCTCACCATTGGGATCTCGGTAACTGTGAGATATAGAGAGTCGGTTAAATTATGAAAGTTTCAGCCTATTTCAACCGTGATTCGGATAGAAATCCTGATTTATTAGATCTGTAAAATATTATATTTCATTTCCCCAAAAAATCAGTATACATCGTAATTTCAGTGCCATTTTTAGGAAAAGATTTCCATTTACGGTTCCGTCACTGTTCTGTACTATTCCAAACATCATAATGAACTTTATTCCATTCAGTTTCAAGAAGAGGTTGAAATCCAACTACTACTGCAACAATGACTCTTGCTAGACCGATACGTAGATGTTTGACGTAACTTCTCAACCGGTTTTTTCTTATTTCGTTGTATTTTTTTTTTCATTCGGCTCGGATACTTTCTCAATCGATTACCTGAAGTTTTTTTAAAGTATTCTCCTCGTTTAACGTTTTATTACAGCTTTTCCATTGAGTATATGTATATAATTTAAAAAATGAGTTGAATATCTCACGAAAGTATTCATCATAGTCTGTTGGAAGTTATTCCAGGACATTCATGGATGGACAACACATGCTTATGCTTTATTAAGGTTTAACCGAGGGGTAAATCACGTGGGAAGTCAGTCCAGTGTACCCGAGACGAAAAATCCTCGGGATATCCGGGTATTCTTTGGAAGTCTGGGAATTCTTTGAGAAGTCCAGGAATTCCTTGGGAAGTCCTCGAATTCCTTGGGTAGTCCAGGTAGTCTTTGGGAATTCCGTGTATTCTTTAGGACGTCCGGAAATTCGGGTAGTCTTTGGGAATTCCGGGTATTCTTTAGGACGTCCGGAAATTCTTTGGGTAGTCCCTGGAATTCTGGGAATTCTGTCGACAAAAGAAGTCTAGTGTACCCGAAATTGGCTCGTGATTCACCCCTCGGGTTTAAGTGTAAGAATAGCGTTTGCTGAACTGCATTTCAAAAGTTCCTTTACTATTATGTTCTTCATGAATAATTATTATTAAATTATATCTATGAAGAATATCAATTCTCTGGTGATTATTCGTCAGAATTATCCCCACCATTCGCGATTTCATGCTCCTCTTGCAATGATTCCGCAGAATTCTCCCCACCGGCAATGATTCTGCAGAATTATCACCACCATTCGCGATTTCATGCTCCCCTAGCAATGATTCCGCAGAATTTTCCCCACCATTTGCGATTTCATTTTGTTACCCGTGCTTTTCGTTTAGTATTGATGGCGTCTACTTTTTAATCGTTACGAACGCGGTGGTGTCTATCTTACAGTCATCTCGACCGTCAGTCATCAATTCTCTGGCATTGATTCGTCAGAATTATTCTCACCATTCGCGATTTCATGCTCCTCTTTCAATGATTCCGCAGAATTATCCCCACCGGCAATGATTCTGCAGAATTATCCCCACCATTCGCGATTTCATGCTCCCCTACCAATGATTCCGCAGAATTTTACCCACCATTCGCGATTTCATCAATTTACCATGTTTAGGGATTGTTGGCGTCTACTTTTTAATCGTTACTAACGCGGTGTCTACCTTACAGTCATCTCGACCGTCAGTCATCAATTCTCTGGCAATGATTAGTCAGAATTATCCCCACCATTCGCGATTTCATGCTCCTCTTGCAATGATTCCGCAAAGATTTCCCTGCCATTAGCGATTTCATGCTCCCCTTGCAATGATTTCGCAGAATTTTCCCCACCATTCGCGATTTCATCAATTTACCGTGTTTCACGTTTTGGGATTGTTGGCATCTAATTTTCTTACAGCTATCTCGACTGCTGTCACTCCCGCCGTCTCTCCCGACGTGCTGCGCACCGCCTCGCTGCGCCACCAGAAGGGCCTGATGGCGCCCGTAATCTTGCACGCGCTCAGCACGCAAGAGGTGCGCCTCGCCTGCCTCATGGAGGACGAGGGCAGCAGAGAGTTCCCGCCCGCGCACGAGGTCTATCGGCCGCTCAGGAGGCGGGTGTACGCCGTGCTGTTCAATCTGCACCATCTGAGATACGTGCATTCGAAGAAAAAAGGTGAGTGCGCTTGGAGTGCGAATTACTGAAACTGAAGGTTATTACATACATACAGGGTGATTTACTTGGCCACACACTGGAAGATCACCAACTTGCAGTTGGATCAAAAACTTCGAAATTGGAATTCTGGTATCGATCATTTCCAATTTGTTTCCTTTTAAATTATAATAATAATAATAATAATAATAATAATAATAATAATAATAATAATAATAATAATACTCAGGGCACACGGTACTTGGTCCCAGTGATTACTCACCTCACAGGCTGTGAGGAGTAGTCACTGGATTTTATCCAGCACGACTCTGCGTGACGTCGGAGGCCGCAGGGTCGTGACTGGAATCATATAAACTCAAATAATAATAATAATAATAAATGATTTTATTGCAACAGATAGATAGGTACACATGGTAAATATAACTAAACGAATAATGAGTTGGTTTGTATCTCAATAATCGTAATAATATCATATGAACATGATTATAACAACTATATTTATGATATAATGTATGTGTCTGTGTAAACCTATCTATGCAAAAGGCAGAGTTCGCACTTCTACAACTGTGAAGTTAAGAAGCGGCGCATGATAATGATAATAAATTGCCTTTATTTAACCTGGTGGGGTTCAGCTGACGTGCTCTTCCACTCAACCAGGATACGAGATTAAATACTAATCGTACACAAAAATATTACATAATACCTATTCAACTGTGTATGTGGACTAAGAAAATTTATTAATATCCATGTTTTTTTATTGATCACTGTTTGCCGTGTAAGAACTTTTTCATTTGTTTTTTAAAATTTATAGATAGCATAATTTGTGCGATTCCCGTCTATTCTTCATTTTTAACCATCCAATTTCTCTTATAAGGGGCGATACATGTTCCTTATAAGTAATATTATACAGGGTGTTTCATAATTGAATGCTGATCCTAAAGGGCGATGATCCTTGGATGATTTTAAGGAGAGAAGTTCATATCAACATATGTCCTGAACCTCTTAGTTTTTGAGCTACAGGGTGTTGGAATGAGAAGCATACAGCGTTTTTTTAAACTAAACATTCAATATCAGGTCTACGAGGACATCACTGGTAAAAGTAAAAGTTTGATTTTCGTCACAAAACAAAATGTGTTTCCACTTATAGTGGGTGTCTACTGAATTACCAAAAACAATATCCAAGAACTGAAGGAACAAAATTCTTTGGTTTATATTTTTTTACGCGAAAACGGTACGTTGTATGAAAGTAAGTCTAGGAACCAAATTTGCTCCAAAATGGATAAGAATTGAAAAAAAATCTGGTTCTCAGAAAAATCAGTGGCGTACTATCTTTTTCTTCAAAAATTGTCAGTTCAAACCCCGTACGGACGCCACTGGTGACAATTTTTAAATATCTTTCACGTAAATAAATGCTCCTTAATAATGAAAAGTTGTATACAAAATATCATAACAATATCTAAGAGTGATAAGAAATTATGATGAAAAACTCATTTTTTTCTTGAAATTTCATCACCCTGTAGCTCAATAACTAAGAGGTTTAGGTCATATGTTGATATGAACTTTTCTCTTTGGAATCATCCAAGGATAATCGCCCTTAAGGATCAGCATTCAATTATGAAACGCCCTGTATATAAATCGCACATAACAAAATCAGAGGATCACACAATGTTATTTTCGGTTTCTTATTTAAATAATGTATGTGTGAGAATAGGTTTTTTAATATTCCATAAGAACGTCGAATGAGGTTGTTCACATGTTTGAAAAATCTTAAATTGTTTTTGGATGTGTGATAAATTGAGATTCGATGAGTAGTCCCAAGCACATTGAATGTTACAGTCTGTCCATCAACCTGTATGAATATATTGTCTATGGCCCTCTGCCGACTTTTGGTGCTACCAAAGATAATTGCTGACGACTTGTTGGGATTGATTCTAAGTGAATGATTTTGTGACATCTTAACTAAGATTTTAATGTCGTTATTGAGACTGGTTTGCTTTTCAATTAAGTTGTCTATATCATCACTATAATTTAAGATGCCCCCCCCATGTTTGAATATGAAATGTTTACAAATATTTTGAAAAATCGGATGTATATATGGTAAAAAGGAGGGGAGCAAGAACTGAACCCTGACGAGCTCCGTGAGTAATTTTTTTCTCTGTCGATTTTTTGTCTTCTATGACTACACTCTGGGATCTTCCATTTATTAATGATTTTATCAGTGAACATGATATTTGATCGAAACCAAAATATTTGAGTTTTGCACTGTCATGGTTCACACTGTAATCATCCATATGAAAACCATGATGAATATGTTAGAAACTGAAACCTTATGATGTTTCCACACATTACGAGCTTTTTAACTCTGAATCGTCACCAAACTTCATTTTCCCGCTATTAAAATATCCTTCATCCGTCCTAACCCGACCGACACCGTTCCAGAATCCGGCGAGCTGCCCGACAGCGCCCCCCCGCCAGACGTCATCGTCAAAGAGTGGACGTACAGTCGCTCCAACCCCTACCACCGACCGGAAGAGGTGCGGGCGGACCCGCTGCCCTGGGCGGTGCCCACCCTGCAACGTTTGTGGTTCGGCCCGTCGGTGGACGACAAGCGACGACGCATGCGCGCCCTGCTGTCCTGCCTCAATTCGGACACGCCGTTGATATTGAATACGGCGTACGTGCCGCAGCACATGCTCATCATGGCGTGCGTGTTGCGGTACATTATGTCGCAGGATAGGGCGATCATGCGGCGGCATGAGTTGGACGCGTTTTTGTGCCATGCGTTCAATCCGAATCTGATGAATCCGCAGTATTTGCAGGATTTGACGGTGAGTCAAGTTTGTTTTGTTTTTCGGAAAAGTTGGATTCGTAAATGCGGTTGAGTCATAATAATAATCTTTATTTGAAAAAACAGCCAAGTACAAACACTAGACTTGTAAAAGGTTGTAGAAACAAACGGGCGTCACACAATATAGGCTACTATAAAACCATCACAAAAATGTATAGTACAAATAGAATCATAAAATAGATAAAAATAATGACTAAACAATTTATTCTAAGTTTTCCTGAAGGTAATCACTTATGGAGTAGGGCTCCAGGTTTATTAGAAGTTTCCATATTTCTTTTTTGGAAACGTTTGGAGAGGAAAGAGACTTAATTCTTTCTGGTAACTTGTTGAAAAATTTGATTGAATTATATGAAGCATTTTTTTCTGTTACCGCCAATCTATGTGTAGTCAAGATCTACAGTTCAGTTTGTATACCCCGAATTTTTCGAATTCAGAAGTTTCTTTCATTATTTCCAATTACAAGGTGTTATTTGTATTATAAGCAAATCTCAAGTTAATTACTCTCAGTTCTTTCTAGAACTAATGAAAATATTGAATGGAAAATCGACAAATGTTGATTCATCGGAAATCATGGAAATGTATCCCCCCATATTGTTTGTAAACATGATTGAAACAATAACAAGGAAAGAAAAAGTGACTGAATGTATCATCGAATTGAATAACAGTCAAAAAGTTAGTCGACAATCGAAATGTGAGTTGGATTATAATTCAATAGCTGTTACTTCAGATAAATTTTCAAGGACATCTTATTATCAAATAATTCGAGCACACTTGTGCTATGAAATGATATGCAAATATCAATACCTAATTTGATATGGAATAGTGTGTCCACAAAGTCAATAGTAGCAGCTCCATACTATTTGATATGAGTATTAACATTTCATCTTATCCTCTGTGATATTTACCCATGTAATCACCATATTTTGAATCAATTTTGTCTTGCTGCCAAAGTATTTTATTCCAGTCTCCTTCGCATTTCTATGTCAATTTTTACAATTTGTTACTGCACAGTGAGCCATTTTAAATTAAATCTTGTTTTAAATCACCATGTTCCCAAAATTAAAACAGTAGTGTTGGTTTTCTCCAAGATTCTGCGACCATACTGACGTCATGCGCGAAGTAGGATGATTTTGGGACGCGAATTAGGCAATTGGAACATCTTGGAGATGTGTGGGAACTATATTGAGTATACCAAAGAAGGGAAGTGTTGTATTTCGTGCAAGATAGTTTATTCAAATTTATACTCTAGCAGAGCGCTTTCGACTGTCAAGTCATCATCAGTGCATACCTGTAAGTAAGTAATCTGCTTTTAGCTATTGGAAATTGAAAATTCGAAAAAAAAAATTTCAATTTTGTTTCCAACTTGATGGAGCCGCAGAATTTTGACTCACCTGCAAATTAAAAATACATGACATACCTACAATAAATTAGTCCCTCACTCCCCATCGAATCACATGCTAGTATTATATGTATTTGAACTCACTATGACTATTCATAAGCTGATGTACCATAGCTTCAACAGTTACGATTTCATAATTAGTTTAATCTATATTCCAAGTGGTATCAGTTTCTGATACATTCTGTGACTCCTGCAGTTGATCACAAGGTGATTCATGTACATGTTCCCATGCCTGTTCTGTAGGAATTGGAGCAGACGTTCTGGAAAGTTAAAATTTGAAAGCTCTTAAAAATTTCTCACTTTTTTTCAAATATATTTTTCCAGGAACTTCATGGATTCACAATATTCCCAAGTGTTCTGGGAGGAACCTTCTGAGCCTGATGGTTTTATTCTTTTGGCTGGAGTGTACTTATTCCTCAGATTCTTCCAAATTTGTTGACAATCTTCAATTGCAGGTTCAAGTCGATAATTTTGTTGGTATAAATACAATTAAATATAAATACATTTGAATAATGATAATCAATACCCATCTTAAAAAAAAGGAAAATAATCTTCATACCAAAAACAGTCAGAAGTAACATAATATATCACTTTATTTCTGTCAGTTCTGTAATCGTTCCACAAGGCAACTCCAAGAAGATGAAAATGGTCATCTTACGGTTTTTCATAAACTAGAACAACATCGATCGGATTGTGAAGCTAACGGATAGGGAAGGCGATCCTCTTGGGGTTTGACGTCATCCGGCATATACTTTTCAATGATTTATGAATGAATCGTGGTGTCTATCTATTGTTATCTAGTCTAAGTACCTACCTACATTGTCGCCGACCCTTTCTAGCTGAGCTTCGTCACAAGTCGCCGCGTCCATCTAGCCGCACTCTTCATGCAGGGCGTCGACATGGCCCTGTTGGCGAACGACGCCTGCGGCGCCCCCCTTTCCTGGCTCATGTGCTGCCCGTGGCTCTATTTCGACGGCAAAATGTTCCACTACACGCTCACGCGGTCCTCGCACGCCAAGGACATCTTGGAGTTGTGCGAGAACTACATCGAGCGCGTCTCTTTGTTTCCTCCTTGAATTTTTTAATATTTCTGCTGTAGATTTTCGATAATCTAGTCTTTTTCCTCAACTAGAACTACATCGAACGGTTTGTGGAGCTAAAGGATGCGGAAGGCGATCCTCTTGGGGTTTGAAGTCATTCGGCAGAGTTTTCCCCACCATTCGCGATTCCATCCGTTCATCCGTGTTTGGCATTCAGGATTGTTAGCATATACTTTTCAATGATATATGAATGAATCACAGTGTTTATCTTTTGTTATCTTGAGTACCTACCCCACCTACATTGTCGCCGACCCTTTCTAGCTGAACGTCGTCACCAGTCGCGGCGTCCAGCTGGCCGCCCTCTTCATGCAGGGCGTCGACATGGCCCTGTTGGCGAACGACGTGTACGGCGCTCCCCCCTCCCCTTGCTGAGAACTTCATCAAGCGCGTCTCTTTGTTGCCTCGCTTCTTTTTACTAGTAAACCTTGAATTCTTTAATATTTCTGCTTTAGGTTTTCGATTATCTGGTCTTTTTCATCAACTAGAACTACATCGAACGTGTTGTGAAGCTAACAGATGCAGAATCGAACGTGTTGTGGAGCTAACAGATGCGGAAGGCGATCCTCTTGGGGTTTGACGTCATCCGGCCGAGTTATCCCCACCATCCGCGATTCCATACGTTCATCCGTGTTTGACATTCAGGATTGTTAGCATATACTTTTCAATGATTTATTAATGAATCACAGTGTCTATCTATTGTTATCTGAGTACCTACGCAACCTATATTGTCGCCAACCCTTTCTAGCTGAACGTCGTCAACAGTCGCGGCGTCCAGCTGGCCGCCCTCTTCATGCAGGGCGTCGACATGGCCCTGTTGGCGAACGACGCATGCGGCGCACCCCTTCCCTGGCTCATGTGCTGCCCGTGGCTCTATTTCGACGGCAAGCTGTTCCACTACACGCTCACGCGGTCCTCGCACGCCAAGAACATCTTGGAGTTGTGCGAAAACTACATCGAGAGGGTGGTGAAGGTCGAAAGGATGCGGAAGGCTATATTGGAGGGGTTGGACGTGAAGTTCGCCAAGGTGCTGATGCCTCCGTTCGTCGGTGAGTTTTTCGCGTGGAATTATTATCTCGAAGAGATGCAACATCCTATGCATAAAACACTATTTATGTTTGGTAAACGAATAGTTACAAATTGCAAAATGAAACGCATTGCACTGTTTTACCACTAACCAAACTGGAGTTTTAATCTTCTGAAGATGCTCTCCCGTATCAGAGCGTTTAAAAAATCTGACGAACTAGACAAGCCCAGTCAGCACATCCTTCCGTTGTCAACCTCGAAAGATGTCGAACAGCACTTTATCAAAACTCCTTCATCCATAGAACGGCTAGGCCCTGGAATTCATTGCCTGAGGAAGTATTCCCAACAACATATAATCTCCAGAAGTTAAAACAAAATTCCAATACCTACCTCCTGTCCCTATCCTCCCTAGGAACGCACAATGTTCTTTGAACATTATAGGGATTTCCTTTCGTGCGCTCCAAGCTATAAAAAAAATTAAAAAAAAATTTAGTTCAGGGACAGAACAGTGTGGTCGAATATCGCACCAAAGGTTCCAGTTTTTTATATGTTTTTTGCACTCTGACAGTATCACAGTCACAAACACTTGAATAATTATAATAATAAAGTCTATTCAAAATGATGACAAGCGTTTGAAATTTGCTTCAAATTTAATATTAATATTGATGCATAAAAAACCTGAATAAATTTTAATGGCAACATGATTTCAAGTAGACATTGTAACAAGTGCTCAAACATGCTCGAAATGTTCATCGTTCACTTATTGACACTGAAAAATCGGTTTTGGAATTCAATCCGAACGTGATTTACTGTTTCCGAGGTACATTTCAAACGCTTGTCTTTTTGAAACGGCTTGACTGATTTTCACACCCAATGCAGAGTTGGATAGAGAATCGGAAGGCCTTCAAAACAAGGTACCACGTGACCCCTCTTCATATTTCAAACAAAGTTGATGGTGTCCACTTGACACTATGTACGTGACCACAACCATTTTCATGCCAAATAGTTGTAACAGAAATACCTTTTTGCCTGGATTTTACCCGACCTCGCTAGCTTGTTCTGTTCAAAGGTTAAACGGGGGGAGGACTTCTTACGTCCTCACTGTTTGATTGATTGTCTTTATTACCCCAAGAAACATTATTGTTTATGATAGGGATATATACAACAAAACATACATATAACATAATAAATCAAAACAATAATAATTGCACAATTATTGTTTTTCATAAAAAAAAAATATAATAAAATATAAAATGAAAATATTATAATCCATTACAAGTAATCAAATTGTGAATGATTAGTACTATCAGTAGATATGGAATTAAAATTTACTGAGCAGATATTTCTTTGATTTGATTTTAAATTTTTCTGCTACTTCTATATTTTTCAACTCATTAGGTAGGAAGTTATATAAAATTATTCCATTATGGAATATTGATTGTTTACCAAAATGTGACTTATAATTATTTGCTATCAATAAATTGAATCGCCTTGTTTCATGGGCGTGAATCGTACTAACTTCATTAAAATTCAAATTCGATATTTTCAATTCTTTCCTGACAAAATGAATAAAACAACAAATTTTGAGTTTATATAATGAAACTTGATTCAGCAAGTCTTTAGGTTTGTATAGATTCACAATTGATTCTAAAAAAGGTAAATTGATAATGCACTTTATTGTTTTATTTTGTAATTTCATTAGTGGCTTCAAACGTGAAATATTTGTACTTCCCCAAATAGATATTAGATATTATTCATTTGAATAAAAAAGACAGAAATAAAATACTCTAGGTATCCAACAGGAATGCAATTTCGAATTTTATATACAGTGTCATTCATAAAGTCGGCATCATATGGGAAAAACTTTTATTAATAACTTATTTTGAAATTCGAGTTGGACGTTAAGTTTTGCTTCGTAAATGATGAAAGATGGCCTACTCAATTGGGGTCACGTGACTTTCGCTACATGTCAAAAGTGGCATTTTTTCAAATTAATCGCTGAAAGTAGGCTCATAGATTAAACAAACAATAGATAGACAATCCCTGTACAAATTGGTAACGCTCATAAATTGTACGCCAAATTCACATTAGTATTATCGTCAAATGTCAGATGGCGCTCTATCTCTTTTATCGATCGACTCGTAGTAAAATTGTGAAAGAATAATAGTATTTGGGCGTCATCAAGATAAGGATCATGATTTATGGCTCACAACATGAAAGGGTCTTAACAGGTAGGAAAATAACTTGTATGAGGTATATAGATATGGTTCCTTCGATGATTATTTTTATTCACGCGCGTGTATAGGCATGCACCTGAACAAACTTAAATCTCAGGAAGTCTTCATTGTTTTTTTTACGGGGTAGGTCAAGATGAATTGAAACTTGATTTTGAAACGTATACTTTAAACATAGATTAAAAATGAATTGAAATATCTAAATAGCTGGAACTTATCGAATATACAGAGTGAGTAAAATTGTAGATCGAACATTTTAAAAATTTCAAAATATCGAGAATCTGAATAACATAATTATGGTTTGTCAATGGGTTATTCTATGATATAGGGTGGGTCAATATGCGTACGACCTTTTTGATCGCTTGAGTTCGTTGACGGCAGGTATCTTATTCAAAAACATTGATACCTACAATGATTGATATAATCTGTAATTTCAAATCATGACATAAATATACAGGGTGAGTTGAAGAGATTCCGATGAACTCAAGAGATAACTAAATCTACACCGAGATCTACACCTTCTCAAATCTTCAGAATCGACAGAATCTGATCAACTCATCAGTCGCCATTAGGATATTCCATAATATATACAGGGGGCTATAATAAGTACGTTCTCTTCGTATTGCCTGAGTTCTAGTTCTATAATAGCATTATGATAGCTATAAATCACATTTAATATCGTTATGAAACCAAATCAAATAATCTCTGACTGGAAATCATTATCGAATATACAGGGCGAGTGAGTCAAATGGGATATTAATTTTGAGAATTCCAAGAGTTACAGCCGGAATCTACACTTTTTCAAATATCTAAAATCTGAGCAACTCTCTTCGATTCCGATAATTTCAAGAGATTACAATACACCTAAGTCTATACCTTTCCATATCTACAGAATCGAGAGAATCTGGGAGCTACATATATACAGGGTGTTCCAGGTTGAACGTCATTGAATTTTATAAGCGATAAAACAATGGAAAAAAGTTGACTCATGGAAAAACTTTGGTTAAAAATACTTCCCATCAAAGATACAGGGTGTCAAATTTGTGGGCAGAAATTAGATTTCTCATCATTACTTCCAAACCACTCGACCGATTTTGATCAAATTTCGCACAGATACTAATGTATTTCATCTCTGAGTAATGATTGAGGTTATTCGAGGAAATTCTTCAGTGGCGTAGATAATGGGGGTCGACATATCCTTCTCCCTCACCTAATCTTCGGTTTCACTAAATATTTTACAAAAAGATTACATTTTTGGATTTCTTGTTCAATTTAGAGAATAAAAATACCTTTGCAAATGTTTGATTTATGGCTTAGTTTTCAAGATACTTATTCGAATTTAGAGGGTTGCATCAAGCAGGCTAAAATTTTCGAGGATTTGTACAGGCTGTACTAGTATGGTTTTCAATAATGTTAATGAAGTAGGTACACATTACACTGTTGATTTTGATGATTCCAAACTTAACGCGGCCGCCGAGAACTCAATCGAGGTGTCTAAACTCTGAAACCCTGTATCTCTGTTAGGAAGCATTTTCAACCAAAGTTTTATCATGAAAGTCTACTTCTTTCCCGTTTTTCTGTCGCCTATCAAATTTAATGACGTTTAACCTGGACCACCCTGTATATATATACGTCCACCTCGATTGCTTGAGTTCGGGTTCTATACAATAATAGCATACAATAGCTATAGATAACATTTGATATCGTTATGAAACTATATCAAATAATCTATAACTGAAAACTATTATCGAATATACAGGGCGAGTCAAGTGGGATATTGAATTTAGAGAATTCCAACAGTGACAGCCAGCCAGAATCTACACTTTTTGAATCTCTAAAATTTGAGCAATTCAGTCATCAATAGGTTTTTCCATTTTTCTATCATACAGGGTGGATCAATAGTACGTCAATTATCGATCTAAAAAAAAAAGTAAATTCGGACCCTTCGTGGTCAGTTCAGAATATTTCAAGAGTGGGCCAGTAAAATAAAATTGTAACATTGAAATAACTTGAGGGAGTAAAAAATACACAAGTGATGAATATTTCAACCCAACATATTCATAGATACTATTTAAATACCATCATGATTTTTGATTACTCCTTTCTACGAAAAGAGAGATCGTGGTTGGGAAGCAATTTACTTTCCATTAAAAAGGTATTAAATTTTGTATTTAATTTGATGAAATGAAAATCAAAAGAAAATTTGAATATTCAAAGTTATTGGACACAATTGAAGGATTCGAAGACCTAGGAATAATAGATGGTAGATCTAAGACGACGGGGACACAAGTGATGGTACTTTTGGCCAGAGGACTATATTCCAAGTGGAAGATTCCATTAGGATATTTTGTCTGTGGTAGTGCTATGAAACATACCATCCTGAAAGAAGTGATCATCAAAGCCATTCAACAGGTGACAAATACTGGCCTTATTGTCAAGGCAGTAATGTGTGACCAGGGAACAAACAACCAGGCAGCTATGAGGAATTTACATGTCTCCATTGAAAAACCATATTTTGAAATCGAAGGCCGAAGAATATATTGTATTTTTGATCCGCTCCATTTGTTCAAGAACTTTAGAAATAATTTATTGCACCATGACTTTATCTGGATGAATAGGAGAGTATCGTTTGATGATGTGAGGAAGACATATAATATTGACACATGTAGTACAACAAGGACTTTACTCAAGATCACTCCTGCCCACATGAATCCATCAGCATTCGAAAAAATGAATTGTCGGTTGGCACTCCAAATTTTCAGCAATTCTATTGCCGCAGCTATTATAAC